AATATATAATTAAAAAGTAATATATTAGATATAAATAAAATGTTGAGTGCTAGGAAATAATGAAGAAATTTTATGATAATTTCAATAAATATGATAGACAAAGTAAAATCTACTTAATCTTCATGTCATATATATTTTAACATAAATAAATAAAAATATTTTTACGAGTTATAGATATCAAATTCTTTGCAAAGCGAATTTTATGATCGACAGTAACAAGATCGGTCCAATTGGCGAGAAGACTTGAGAGCATCGATATTTTCGATCATAAACAAGAAATTGACGCATGTTCCTTCCTTGTTCATGGTCGGTTGGTCCATATATATTCATGCTTCCTCTCGTCATCTGCCCCCTCGGCGCGACCCTACTCTTACGGCCCGCGGCCTCGTTTCGGGCCTATTGTCCGCGATGCGTTTCAAGATGCCGCCAACGGCTTTAATGAGAATTTTAATTACCCAATCCGGTGCTTTCTCGAAACCAGCCGACGAAACGCAAAGCCATCCGAGAAGTGATTACCTTTGCGCAAACTGCATCCAATCACGCGCTCGTTTCGGTTTCTAGTGCGATCAAAGAGTTTGATTACGACATTAGATAACGTAATGCATATGCATGTCCCTTTGGCAAAATTATTTATTACGTTTGACAATTTTATATGAGGGATATTATTCATTAAAGTTTCTTAAGAGTTAGCAATATGACATATATCAGTAACTGATGCTATTAAAGCATACATGAATAATTTAGCATAATTTAAATATACCGATGCAATTTAATAAATCTTTCCGCAAAATTTCTTAATACGATATACGATTAAAATAATTTCTCATTCTTGTTAATATCGGTTCTAGATCGTTGCAACCAAGCGGAATATAGCATGCTTTTCTCTGGTCTGTCTATATTAATCCACGGTCCAGCACTTCCGATTATCCTTGGCGCACGATGTTCTAACATATTGTTGTGCAGATTTCGCGGAACCTTAAACATGGTTGATTGCGAATTCGATATAGTATCGTCCCTCCTATTGAAGTTCGGGTACAATGATTCCATTAAGATCGATTTTCTCTCATATGTGCAATTATCGTTTGACATTATTATGGATTTTGTCTTTGAATCAGCTGATTTAAAACCGATCGAACCATTTGGCTTTCTCAAAAGAGAACCAGTTGCTTCTGAAAGATTTTTTTTATCCTTGCCCGATTTTGATTTATCCAGATGATTTTTTTCGCAATTCTTCGATAATAAATCCTTGCTCTTGGGATTTTGTGTTACGATCCTGGCTATTTTATTTCCTGCATCATCCTTTTTATCCATCTTTTTTACAAATTTATCCGGCATCTCTCTCGCATTTTTCTCCATCAAATTTTTATTTGCTGCACGATCTTCTAGTTTAGAAATTGTTAATTTTGAATTTGAATTTGTTTGTGATTGGTTATCTATATTAGCGATTTTATTTGTATTTGTGTTGTATTTCGTTTGTATTTCATTTATGATTTCCAAAGGCGATTTCTTTTGATTTATCATTTTTTTGTCCGAAGATTCTTGAGATGGTTTATTCTCCAACTTTGGCATTGTCAGGCTTTTTGATGTTTCAATTTCTTGAATAGTCTTTGAAGTATTTTTTATATTTGATAAACTCTTCGGTCTATTTTGCTTTGATTCTTCTGATGGCATTTTTACTGACATCCCTAATTTTTCTGATTTAATCGTTCCTGAAGAAATTTTTATACTTGACGAAGAGTTGGGTTTGTCTTTGCTATATTCCAATAATGACTTTTTCTTCTGATTAAGATTATCTTGAAAAACGATAGTATCTTCTGTCAGTTTTTTCTGTTTTCTTAATGTTTGCATTGATTTCAACGGATCTTTTGAATTCGAAGAACTTGTAGTTATAACATCATTTTGGTACACCTGCTGTATATTCTTAACGTTATTCTTATTTTCTAGTTTCACATCTGATGTAGCAACGTTTTTTACTATTAGGTTTTCCTTTTGTTTCAAACTATTCATCTTTATTTCTAATTTCTTTGTCTCATCCAATTTCGTTTGCTTTACTGGTATTGTCTTAGTAACCTGCTCTCTTATTTCTGTCACGGATGTATTCGGTACCAAGTCTTTTGTCGTTATTGTGCCCGCTGGTGGACTTTGAATTTCTCTCACTCGGCTATTTAATTTCACTGTTGGTTCTCGCGATGTGCCTTTACTTTTTTCAATCAGTTTTAGGGCATCCGAAATATTTTCTATTTTCGGTTTTGTACCGACTACGTCGTCGATTGACTTTGTCTGCTTTAAAGAATAATTATCTTTCTTCTCTCGATTTCTTTTTGGTGGTAAATCCTGTGCACTGTTTAATGTCTTTTTCTGCAACATAGATGCTTTCTCTCTTACATCATGCTTGCTTATATTCGTTGCACCAGATGTAGATAATGCAATTGGTTTTGTTCGTATAATCCCAAAAATTTTTTTATCTTCTTGTATAGCTGACATTTGATTATCTTTAGTTTTTAAGTCTTTTTTCATATCAGAAGTAGTACCAGGATTTTCCTTATTCGGTTTTAATTTAAAGGAATAGTGCGGAGTTGGCTTAGATTCTACATATTGCTCTACAGGTTTTGAATACGAAGTCAAATTGCTTGACTTATTTATAGTAATAGTTGCGTCATTTATCGATTGCATTTTCTTCGTTAGAACCGTTGAATTTGACGTATCTTTCCATTTCGATGGTGAAGATTCAGTGACAGGATTGTGATTCAAATTTGAGATTGCTTTCTTTTCATTTCGATTCGATGGTGGCACAAGCGGTTTGGGATCCTCTTCCTTCTTTTTTATCTTGTTAAAAGAATCTGAAGAGGACCACCAAGGGATCGTTTTTGAAGGAACGCGATGGCCAGAAGATTCATTTTTATCATACTTATTCGTCAGAGATTGTATAGTATTCGTTACTTTCTTGGCATTCAAATTTTTAATTTCAGGCTTATTTCTTTCTTCGATTAATGAGACATCTGTCATCGTTTTATCAGTTGAAAGATTTTTCGCTGTTTTGCGTTGGATATTGAGCTCAACATCGCCTGAAGCTTTATGCTCGTTCATATTTTTCTCGACCGTATTGTCAGATTTGATATCTATTCGATCAGAGAATCCATACTGTTGCATGTTATCGCTGCTAAAAGTATCCTCGCGAGCTCTCACGGATTCGTTAAACGAATAGTAATTCTTAGAAATCGGCGACGATGATTCTGGTGCCGTGTTTTTATCGTATTGATATCGCTTTGTTTCTCGCGGCTTCTCAGCACTACCCTTCGTAGATTCGTTCTGAAAATTGGCGGATATCTGCACGTTCAATATCTGACCCGTGCTCGAATCAGTTTCCTTCGATAGATCAGTCTCTCCGATTTTGCTCGGCGCATTCGCTTCGTCCTTGGCGAACGGTATCCTGATCTCGATTTTGTCCATCGAGCTCACTACATCTAGCCTCTCCGTTCTCGCAGTGATACTCTTCAGTTCCGAAACCGGTTTGCCGTTGATTGAAAACTCAATCTGTTTGACCGGGGCGGAATCCTCGCTAATCGAAATACGCATCGGACCAAAGTCGTTGCGCTGCGGCGCACTTTTCGCACCTCGCCTCGTTGAAACGTTCCATTGATTTTCCGTCAACTGTGGATCTTCCTTTCGATCAGTTTGCACAACGACAGAGAGTTGCTTGGAAACAGGATTCAGAGAATCTAATAATCCAGTCGAGACTGAATCCACGTTAATGGACACAACGGATTCTTTTTCAGAAGGCACCATGCGTAATTTGACCTGCGGTTGCTTTAATACACTGGTAGTACCGCTAGTTTGTACGTGCGTTGAATTCTTCCTCGCAGATGAACTCGTTACGTTGCTGAAATGTTGCGGCAGATCTGAGGTCTTATCACTCAATTGCGAATAATTATGCTTCTGCAGCGCGAAATCATTATTATGTTTTTTCATTTTGTCAATCTTGTCAGATTGATAGTCCAGTTTTTTAATCGCTGTATCTTTCTCCTTTTGTTTGTGAGCTTTGATAAGCTTCGTCAGTTTGTGAACCTTGTGCAGCGAATTATCAGATGTATCGAATTGCGGTATGTCACTTTCCTTCAACTTAGAGATGTTAACGGCCCTTGCGGTTCTTCTCTCGATGACACTTCTTAAGTCGCTCGTCACGCTTTCTGTTTCGTTTAACCAATTATGTTTCTTTGGAACAATCAGCTGTTCTTTGACATTCTTCTCGAGCGGTATCGTAGCAACAGTAAGCGATGTTTTTCGTAGTGTCTCTTGCGTATTCGTGCTGTTAGCTTTCCTCGGAGTGACAAAAGATTGAAGAGATTTTCTTGCCAATACATTTCTACTTAGCACTAAACCACCGTTTGAAATATTTGCAATAGAAATGTTATGCATAGACTTACTGCAATCGGCGACTAATTTCGCGTAAGAATGATCGTCGTTCTTCAAATCGTTAGCAATAATGCAGTCTTGATTGGTGACTTTATTTATCGTTTTGGCAATATGCGTGTCATGTTCAAAATTATGACATTTAACAGTATTTTTGTTATCGTGCTGAATGCATCGATCGAACGACTTAATAGCTTCAGCGGGAAGGGATGAATAATTTTTTTGCCCTTCAATTGGAACTCCATTATATTCAGTAACGTTTACAATTTTCTTAATCGGAGATGGTGTCGAGAAAGTACTGAATGGACTCTTACGTATTGTATTGTCGAAATAAAGACTATCATTTCGTACACCTACGGTGGATACTTTATATAGGGCTTCGCTGTAATTGGCTATCATCTCTGCATACGATCGAGGATATTTTTCAACGGATGCGACAAAACTGCTATGATGATTAACGTTCTTCGCGCCGTTTATTATCGTAACGATTTGAGACTTATGTCGTTTGTTAAATCCGCTGCTATTAAATTTGACATTTTGGCACGTAGAATAATGGCACATTGTTCTTACTATATTTTCTAATGGCAACTTCTTATCCATCGATAATTTCTTTTTCAATGAAGTTACGCTAGACTTGGTTCTACTGCGTTGTTTGCAAATTGTTTTGTTTCCTTTAGAAACAAAACGCAGATCGTCTGAGTGAAACTGTTTCGAATATTTAATATCAACATCATAATTTTTCTTTGCTACGGATAATTGGTCTGATCCTGGTACTTGAGACCTGAACTGGCGATTTTTGAAATAAATATCAGTATGCTGTCCATAACGCGATGGCAAGGCAGCATCTATACAATAATAAAAATAATTAATTATTCAATCTTGATTAATTGAAGCATAATATTAGCAACATATAATAAAAAATATATTACATGTATATATATGTATATATACACTTTTATTTATAGAAATTTAATTAATCTATTATATATTTTATTATAGTACACGCACGCACCCGCACACACGCACACACAGAGAGAACCTTTGAGAAAAATCTTAAATTAATAAAGCAATAAAATAAGATTGTGTGATTATTTTTAAAGTAATATAATGTATGTTTAATATTTACGGTAATAACATTTTTAGAATATACATGAGAGAGAGAGAGAGAGAATATCTAGCGAGAAATTCCAGAAAAATTTGTGTAAATTGATTATTTAGAAGAAACTTACTGGGTGGAATATGGCGAGAAACATTTATACCACGAATATGTTTTAGACGATTCATTTTAAAATCTTAACCAAAAAGATACACGATTGTATATACATTCTAAGCGCGAAAAACACTCGTTTGATTTGGATCTGCCACCAAAGATAATGAATTAACTAAATGATTTTGGACAAGATTTTATTCCATGCGAAAAAACATGAGCTCTAACGATCCTGTCACAAAAATGTCATGCAAAACAAATGAATCACATAGTTTGTTAGATTACTTCAAATTGCACTTTACAAATCATGCTTTATATATATATATATATATATATATATATATATTTATTTACTCGACGGTACTGTCAATTTGCAATCCGCCGAGGATCGGTCGAAGCGGAACGCACCCGGCTCGTGGAGGCATTGATTAGTCTCGTGTAATCTTACCTACGGGGTAAAGGCGACCGCGCGATCGATCTCCTCTCTCGACGGAACCACGAGAACGTCCATCGCGGCGTCGATGATCTTCCTGCATCGCCACCGGCAATTTGTTCTTGGTCAGGATAGCTCGGAAAATAATACCTACACGCGATTTGTCATGCTGATAATACGCCAACGAAGAAGCATAGAGTACGTTATAGAGTACGGTGAAAAATCGTATGAGAGATCAATTTTCACGAAAGAAGCCGGAAGATAAGAATTCGTGTAACAAAAATGCAAAGAAGTGTTACCTGTTATTTATAATTTAAATATTATGTATACATATATATGAGAATATTGTATCTTCAAACACATACATGTCATTTTAGATTAACAATTTTCCATATTTATATTACTGATAAAATTATTAAATTTTATTAAATTAAAATAATTAAATAATACACTATATAAAGCAGAGAATTTTTATTGAAATTCAAAGAGACGCATAGCGAACCGCAAACATGATTCGCGCGGGTCATAAAAAGCCACAAGTGTTTCACGAACTACAATTGCTACTATTTTCCCCTGTTTTATTCCTTTCCTTTTCACATTTTTTCAGATTGCACATTCTTGTTTTTAATATTATAAATTGTATAAAGTACACAATCAAAATGTTAGCTTATATAATTTGCCTTTGCAGGTATTGCTTGTGGGAGAATGCAATTCGATGGGTTCATCTTCCATTCTAAATCAGATATTGCGAGCATCCTTTTTTCTTTCAAACAACCTACCTCAAATAGTAATTTTATCTATCGCACTCGTTTAAGAAACAATGCTGACTTTATAGCGCCTGATCGCATAATCTTGCTGAGAGTTGTACAAAATAAAATGTCGAGCCATATAAGGTCTACTGGGAAAGTGAGCTAGCACTGAGATCGGCGGTTTGTTTAGTTGGTTCAACATAGGCTGTTTTTGTCGACCAGCAGATGACGATATAGAGTTTTACATTAAATTTATGTCTCCATAATAGATGTAAAAAGAAATGCAAAAGAAATGCAAAACTGAAAAGCGAAAGAGAAGAGATTTATTTTGTTCTAATCACAATATTTCACAAAGACTGGAATTGAATCAGACTAATTGGTAAAGATAAGAAATTTTATAAATAAAAAAATATTTAAAAAAAGGCGAAGACAGGAGAAAGAGAAAATAATTCTAAGTATTTTATGGCAAAAACCGCGACATCTTAACTTCGTGAACGTAAATTTCGAGCATGGGAAACGCGCTCACGTTTGACGTTACCGTTATCCGAGCTCCTTGTCATCGGTTAGCTATGTGTTTCGATTTGTTCATTTCTTTCTTTCGAGAATTTTGGTCAATTAACATTACGACAAGATTGATTGCTAAACTATTTATTCTTCAATGTTTTATTCAACTCTGTTATATCCAAAGTAGATTAACATTTAATCGAATCAATTTTTGATCGATCAAATTGTCAAAAATATCTAAAAGAACAAATGTTTATTTTATTCAGAACTGTGAGAAAAATTAGGTAAATCTTAGTATGAACAAAATTATAAAAATTTAAATTTTGGGAACTATTTTATATAAGTTATAATGTAGTAACAATGAATAACAAATACTTTTTTTTTTGAATATACGAGTATTATGAACAATAATTACAATAAATATGAATAACAACAACTTTTTTTTAGAATATATAAATACTTAATATTTACGATTTTATTTTTAATCCGTTTTTGTTTTTATTAAAACTTCTTAATCATTTAGATCTATTATTTAATATTTTGATTCAGAGATTTTTGTTCATTTGATTTTCTGTTTAAGTGAGACATTCTGATGATATCCCATACGTTTTATCTTATATGTTTTATCCTACATATATCCTTTGCAGTTCTTTACATCGCGGGCGTTGAAAAATTTGTAGCTCTTTTATCGTCTTTTAATCGGAGTTTTATATGTCTCCGATAACGATGCATCGCGACTCATGTGCACACCTTGAGAAAATTCTGACTTTTCGTCGAGAATGAGGGAAGATCAGAGTAGGAAGGGTCACGTATGTACTTATGGGATTCATATCTTACGAAAGATAACAAGCTTGTATCTCATTTCGATGTTTTGCGCGTCTGGCCTTTCCTCACTGCTTGAGTAAATAAGCTTTGCTTTTGCTTATATTATTGACGATGATAAATTGAGTATACTTTATGGCGAGAGATATCATATACGGATAAACAAATGTTAATCATGACCAAACTGTCAACGAATTGAAAATGATATATTTGTTTTTTTAGGAAGCCTTTTTTAATAATTATAATTCCTTCATTAACAATTACTTCTACGTCAATCTCTTTATAAAATTATTTACTATATACTCTATTGTTAAAATAAAAAAATCTTTTTGTTTTACACAAGTTTTCTAAAAAAATATATATCTCTTTATTTTTCACACTGGTCTAACTTTTTCATAATGTTATTCTAGAAGTTTATATCTTTCTTGTACACATACACATATACCAAATGTTATTTAAAATCATCGATAGATTTGTGTTAAAGCTATATATAGTGCTTTAATTAGTAGATATAGTATCAGTAGATATTGCATTTATTTAATTATTTTTAAATATTATTTCACAAAATAATAAATAAGACCATAATGTGTGCCTTGAATATTTCATACTCCGCACTTTGTTCACAATCGTTTTACCCTACCTCTGAAAAAATGTAAACGCTTTTGAATAGAAGCATCGTCTCAGGATTTAAAAACAAACGCAATCTCGGAACCTCACTCGGCTCTCCTTCTCCCTCTTTCATGCGGTTTAGAACATTGTTGCCTTAGGCTCTTCAATTGCCTGTCTTCCGGTGCACACGCGCATTTTCTCGAGCGCTCTTATATCTCGCCGTCACCATTGTCGTGCAGACGTTACATAGTCAGCGTTGTTAAGAACGGCGACAGAAAAGGGGGAGCGTTCACCCGCATACAAATTGATCCTTTTTGCGCGGCACCTACGGCCGCGTCTCCCTCGCAACTGCCGAAAAACCGGCCCGGACGGTCTACAAGGGGGTTGTCGCGTTTTGTGGAAACAATCAGCAGGTTGTCGCGAAACAAGGATATGAATGCATAAGCAGCGCAGTTAACACGGTTGCACGCCGTGTTCGTCGGCACTCTTTTTGTTTCGGACCCTCCCTCAAAGGACGCCGCTTTTGTACCCCGAGTCCGACCATGTGAGAAGACAGAGGGAGTACGGGGGCCGGAAAGACGAAGGACGGAGAACGTGGGTCCTCGCGACGATATATACGATCGATGTCGTCGCATGGCGGAGTCTCTTATTCTTATTGTCTCTCGGAGTCCTTGCCATCCACGATACTCCGCATCCGTTCCTCCTCGGAAGGATTCTCTCTCGGTCTGCGAGAAGACATTCCAGATTTCTTGTTGACCGATAGACTTCCTTCCTCCGTCGTGAATTTTCTTCAACAGTACTTCTTTGCCTTTACTCGTTGACAATACCGCGCTATTGCTGCGTCTATACTATATATTTAAAATCCGAATGTAAAATTATTATAAAATGATAAATATCTCACTAGAGCAATATTATTTATTTAGGAATCAAGATCTTTTATGATTTTTAACGATGATAAAAATTTCCCGTTTATTCATAGGAGCTTATAAATCTGATTTTTTTTTAACAAAAACTAAGAATAATGAAAATAATATTCCCTAATTTTCTAAATATATTTGACAAATAAACGTTGAAACCTTGTTGTGCAATCCAGGAGACGCCAAGCTATAAACTCTTAGAATAGCAATTGTGTCAATAAAACGACAAATCAAAAATCTGTTTTATAAATAATAATAACAATTAATAAAATAATAAAACAACTGAAATACATGGATGGCCACGCTGTGTGCTAGTATGATAAATAATAATTAATAATACATAGAATACATTGTTTTTTTAAATCGGTATCATGGACCACACGCAGTATGCCCCATTCAATCGGAAACAAAATTGTCATAATTAGAAACGAACCAGGTCTTTGACCGGAGTCTGACAGAGGTGATGCATAGAAGACACCGCGATGAGAATCTGAGAATCGCGTGGAAACATTATTTATAACGTTATAACGTTACAAACGTGCGCGGACGGTCGCCTGTAACCGGAGCTGATGCCGCTTTGTTCCTTATCGCGAGTGTAAATTATTACATTTCGCAGCTTCCTTAATCACGGTGAAATTTCAGTACTGAATCGTCGCGAGTCAAGATGTGTGTCGCGAGTCGAGAAAGAAATACTTCTTTTTCCCTGCAATGCGAAAATATTAATTGATTTTATTATGCAATCTATATGGAGATTCGTGTTGTAATACTCTTTGTTAGATTTTATCCAGTATCAAGAAAATATCCGTTCATCGTCATTATTCTCCTTCTCGCCAACTCTCTTTCTTACATTATGTAATAAGCAAGTAAATAATTTATCTCCTTTGTAATGCCATACATTGAGCAATCGCTATTTCGACGATGGTTACAGAAACTAGAATGTACTTTCCGTAGACTTATGTTAAATTTTTGTTTTAAAGAATGTTAAGTGTGTGTACTAAATTTACGTTTACATGTTTTTTTCGCACTTTGTACGAACTCTTATAAAAGCGCAGAACGAACAACGAGATGATTTAAGACGTATTTCATGCTACGGCGTTTTTTACATCACAACGATTAGAGACAGCTATAAAGAGAGGATTAAAGTCCCGTGGACGAACGATAAAAATTTGCACAAGTCCCGTCCGTGCAATTAAGCGAAGTGTCGACGGCGCCCCAGTCTTTTGAGCTCGGGTTAATTCCGCCATTCGAACGGTATGTCTGGAACCGGTTCGCAAGGCTCGTAATTCGCGTCATGTCTTTGCATTTTTGACAAAGTCGCCAGCGCTATGCAAACACTTATCGTTGATTTGTGCAGATGTAATATACCAGGAATATGTTATTATTCTACATAAACTAAAGAGATATCTTGAAGCTGTTGAATCCATTAACTTTATAAAAAAATTCACTGAATATATTAAACTTGTTATCGGACAAAAAATATCGTAAACAATTTTTAAAAACGATTTATTAATATAATGCAAATCGGATATATTAACTCGATTTCTACCATTCTCCCGCAAATTGCCATCGATTTGCGGAAATGTGCGAACTTGTGCACGCAATGCGTTATACAATCACTGTTACTCGAGCTGCACCCCGAGGTCTCCCCCTCAAAACGTCTCCCACGTCTTTCTTGTCGGCAGACAGCGTGTTACCGCGACGACCGAGGAGAATCGCGACGGGAAGGGCGAAGCGAAGCGCGATGGCTCGTTGTTGAGTATCGATCGTAATTAATAGGGACGATCTGAAAAAGCGACCTTAACGAGACAACCGTAATTAGTGTGCCGCCGCGCGCGATTCGGCCGACGTCATTTGTTTAAGTTGATCCTCGCATGTCGTGTCCGAATAAGGCAACCGCGTGTTCATCACCTCGCAGGGAGTGCGAAAGAACAAAGAGGAAACTAAGAGAGTGCCGGGATGGTCTCCCCGGATCGCGACTGGAAGGAGAGAATGAAAATGCGAGAGAAAGATGGAACGAACAAGAGCGGACACCTGCTGTTAGTTGTATTGTCTTCCTCTCTTTTTCGATTTTCGCTCTTTCTTCATTTCTTCATCTCCTCGTTTTTCTCTTTTTTTTTTTTTTTGTTCTTCT